ATTTTAATTTATTTTTTAGAGACAGAATCTTGTTCTCTTGCTCGGGCTGTAGTGCTGTGGCTCACTGCAGCCTCAAGCCCCTGGGCTTAGGAGATCCTCTTGCCTTAGCCGCCTGTGTAGCTGGAGGTACAGGCATGCACCACCATGCCCAGCTAATTTTTATTTTTTGTAGAGATGGGAGTCATGCTATGTTGCTGGTCTTGAACTCCTGGGCACAAGTGATCTTCCCACTTCAGCCTCAAAGTGCTGGGATTATGGGCATGAGCCACTGCACCCAGCCCAAAACTTATAAAGAATACATGTACTTCCATCAAAGAAGTTTAAAGGGAGGTAGATTTGAGTTCAGTACAGAAGAAATTTACTATTATTGTTGGAAGGGAGGTGGCAATTGTGTATAGATCAAGGAGAGGCCACTGACATTCTTTAAGATACTGTAGAAAACATTTATTTATCAGATTGAACCAAAAGAAAGCCTTAATTCTAAATCTTTTCACTTAAAAAAAGTCTTATTTCTCTGTTTCTATCTGTGAACTTGATAGATTCTAGTTGGTAAATTGATAAGGTTATTCTTTTTTATTTTTTATTTTTTTTATTTTTTTTGAGACGGAGTCTTGCTGTATTGCCCAGGCTGGAGTGCAATGGTATGATCTCGGCTCACTGCAACCTCCACCTCCTGGGTTCAAGGAATTCTCCTGCCTCAGCCTCCCAAGTAGGTAGGATTACAGGTGTGCACCACTACCTCCAGCTAACTTTCGTATTTTTGTGGAGACGGGTTTCACCATGTTGGTCAGGCTGGTCTCGAACTCCTGACCTCGTGATCCACCCACCTCTGCTTCCCAAAGTGCTGGGATTACAGGTGTCATGAGCTGCTGCACCCAGCCTATAAAGGCTATTCTTAATTTTTCTCTCTCTTTCCGCATGCTTTTCCCCTCATCGTTATCCATTTAACCTGCTTTATTTTTCCTCCTAGCACTTGTCACTACCTGGTATTGTATAGTTGGTGTTTCTTGCCTGCCTCCTCAACTAGAATGTTAGCTCCTTGAAGCAGATACTTTGTTCAGCACCGTATCTGCAGGGCTACAAGTGTGCTAGCACAAAAGTGGCACTCAATAAACATTTGTTGAACCTTTACACAAAAATAAATAACATATGTATAAATTGCCGTACATTATTTTCTAAATTTTAGGCACAAGTAGTACTTGTTCCTTATAAGAAGATATAGAAAAGTATAAGGAAGAAGCAAACAAAAAATTAGTGGATTTTTTTTTTTTTTTTTTAGACAGTGTTTTACTCTTGTTGCCCAGGCTGGAGTGCAGTGGCATGATCTCGGCTCACTACAGCTTCCAATTCCTGGGTTCAAGCAATTCTCCTGCCTCAGCCTCCCAAGTAGCTGGGATTACAGGCATGTGCCACCACGCACTGCTAACTTTGTATTTTTAGTAGAAACGGGGTTTCACCATGTTGGTCAGGCTGGTGTCGAACTCCTGACCTTAGGTGATCCGCCCGCCTCAGCCTCCCAAAGTGGTGGGATTATAGGTGTGAGCCGCTGCCCCTGGCCAAATCAGAGGAATTTATCAGCAACAACATATATCCCTGAGGAATGTGCTCAGTTGAGTTCTTGTTAAAGTTTGGGGTGCTTTGGCCCTATTAAGCCAGTAAATAATGAAGACTTAACTCCATTTGTTTTTGTTTTCTTTGTTGTTCTTGTTTGGGGGTTTATTATTTTTTGTACAAAAAATCCTGGTAAGGAAGGATGGCTCCACAGGGATTACCTCTGAGAACACAGGATGCAAAGCCGAACAATAGGTCTTTACGTTATCTGGAAGAATCTCTTCTTTTGCCTCCTGTAATTGGTGATTTCATCATTAGGCCTGTACATGACTTCTGAACGCTGCTGTACACAGCACTTCATTTAGCTGGGCTTACGGAGATTAGATCATGCACAGGAAGCTGGCTCCTTGGCTAACAGGCTCCAGAGAGGAGTCAGGAGGCTTAAGGGATGTGAAAAATTAGGGTTGATTTTTAAGAGACAGGATTCACTGGAAAAGCACAGAGATTTTTCCAGCTCATGAAAGTACCTCCATGACCTTTAGTTTCATGAGCAACATTGATTCCGACTTCAAAACTCTTTCTATAAATAAGGGCTTCTTTGAGCTTCCCTTCCCTTCCCTTCCCTTTTATTTTATTTTATTTATTTTTTATTTATTTTTATTTTTATTATTATACTTTAAGTTCTAGGGTACATGTGCATAATGTGCAGCTTTGTTACATATGTATACTTGTGCCATGTTGGTGTGCTGCACCCATCAACTCGTCAGCACCCATCAACTTGTCGTTTACATCAGGTATAACTCCCAATGCAATCCCTCCCCCCTCTCCCCTCCCCCCTCCCTTATTTTATTTTTTATAGAGATGGGGTCTCACGATGTTGCCCAGGCTGTTCGCTGTTCTCCAACTCCTGGGCTCAAGTGATCCTCCCTCCTTGGCCTCCCTAAGTGCTGGGATTACAGGTGTAAGCCATCACACTGGGCCCCTTTCACTCTCAAAATAGGGCCGCTAGTACTGACTTTGTGAGATTGTTATGATTTTAACGAGCTAGCTCTTTTTTTTTTTTTTTTTTTTTTTTGAGACGGAGTCTCGCTCTGTCGCCCAGGCTGGAGTGCAGTGGCACGATCTCAGCTCACTGCAACCTCCGCCTCCCGGGTTTACGTATGCCATTCTCCTGCCTCAGCCTCCCGAGTAGCTGGGACTACAGGCGCCCGCCACCTCGCCCGGCTAGTTTTTTGTATTTTTTAGTAGAGACGGGGTTTCACCGTGTTAGCCAGGATGGTCTCGATCTCCTGACCTCGTGATCCGCCCGTCTCGGCCTCCCAAAGTGCTGGGATTACAGGCTTGAGCCACCGCGCCCGGCACGAGCTAGCTTTTTAAAGAATCTAGTATAGTGCTTGGAAGATAAAAACCTATCATGGTTTCCGGAACATATACCATGATCATAATCATTGTCAGCTCCTTTTCTTTCTCTTTTTACCATTATCACTATCCATACTATCAGGTTTAAATTAACTTCTTATAACAGAATTACATTTTGAAATCCTATTGTGGCCGGGCGCGGTGGCTCAAGCCTGTAATCCCAGCACTTTGGGAGGCCGAGGCGGGCGGATCACGAGGTCAGGAGATCGAGACCATCCTGGCTAACACGGTGAAACCCCGTCTCTACTAAAAAATACAAAAAACTAGCCGGGCGAGGTGGCGGGCGCCTGTAGTCCCAGCTACTCTGGAGGCTGAGGCCGGAGAATGGCGTGAACCCGGGAGGCGGAGCTTGCAGTGAGCTGAGATCCGGCCACTGCACTCCAGCCTGGGCTACAGAGCAAGACTCCGTCTCAAAAAAAAAAAAAAAAAAAAAAAAAAAAAAGAAATCCTATTGTGTTTAACTGGAGTTTTGAATAACATTTTTGTACTTCTTAAGATACTTTCAATTATCTGCCTTATTATTATTATTATTGGTTTACTTGGCTGGGTGCAGTGGCTCATGCCTGTAATTCCAGCACTTTGGGAGGAAAAGATGGGAGGATTGTTTGAGCCCAGGAGTTTGAGACCACCCTGAGCAACATGGCAAAACCCCAGCTCTACTAAAAATACAAAACATTAGCCATGCATGGTGGTGTGTGCCTGTGGTTCCAGCTACCCAGGAGGCTGAGATGAAAATATCACTTGAGCTTGGAGATTGAGGCTGCAGTGAGCTGTGATTGCACCACTGCATTCCAGCCTGGGTGAGAGAGACCGCATCTCAAATATAATAATAGTTTTACTTTTTTTATTCTTCCCATACATCACAAGCAATATGAAGGATAATGACCCTTACTGATTTTTATATTCACTACAGTACCTAAAACAGTGCTTTGAACCCAGTGAGTGTTCAGTAAAAGTTTATTGAATTGAATGCATTTGTTCTAGCCTTATTGAAAGGTACAACTAAAACATGCAACATTGTGATTGTTAATAAAAGTCACCATCCTTACATACTTGTTTTTTGTTTTTGTTTTTTTTTACTTTTTTTCATAGGCAGTAGTTAGCATCCTCACACACTTAACTGTGTAGAGCCAGTACAGATCTAGGTGAACAGTGCAATTACTTTTCTCTTTTTTGTAAGAAACAGGGTCTTACTCCATCACCCAGGCTAGAGGGCAGTAGCATGATCATAGCTTATTGCAGCTTTGAATTCCTGGGCTCAAGCCATCCTTCCGCCTCAGCCTCCCAAGTAGTTGGGACTGTAGGCATGCACTACCAAGCCTGGCTAATTTTTAAATGTTTTTGTAGAGATGGGGTCTTACTGTGTTGCTCAGCTAGGCTTGAACTTCTGGCCTCAAACAATCCTAGCTTGAACTTCTGGCCTCAAACAATCCTACCTCCGTGACCTCCAAAAATTCTGGGATTACAGACATGAGCCACTGTGCCCAGCCCTACAGTATAATTTCTTTGAACATTTATAGAATTAGGGAGAATAGGACATTTCCATGTGGTGGTCACATCTTAAGAGTGATGAAACTGAAGTCAGCAGTGTTTTGGGTTTGGTTTGGTTTGTTTTGATTTTCCAAATCTAGTTTAAAGTTTTTCCCTTTGGTAGTAATTACTTGTTCCTAATAGCAGGGCCTTCAGCAGTAGGACAGTTATATAATTAAACAATAGGTAGATTAGGAAACTCAGACGTAGCCAAAAGTAGGAAAGGAAGAGGTCAGAAAGCGGGGTAGTTGACCAATTCTGGGCAGGTCTAGAGACTGCACACATGAAATGGTGCTGTTCCAGTTCACTCTCGTTTCAGCCTGTCTGCCAAACTCAAATGGTTTCATTGCCATGTCTGAGCACATCCTTGGAGCTAAAATGGTGTGATTCGGAGGAGATACTGCTGAAGACACTGAGCCTTGCTAGGTGTTTGGTGTGTGATCCCCATTGCTCTGGCCAGGCAGTCATGGGATTATTCTTCACCATTTCCTTTTTTCTAGGTGTACGTGGTTGGGAATGAACCTTTAACAGTTTTGATGGATTCTCTGCTTCCTGTCCTGGGAGTGCTTTTTCTTCTCTACTGTTTTACTAAGCAGAGTGTATCTCACATAAGGTAAACAATCAAGGGACCCTTATTTGTTTATAAATAGAATCTTACTTGTTTATAAATTGTGACATCTTTTTTGCATGTTGTTTTTGTTCTTATTTTGAATTTATATTTGCCACTTTGAAATTATCATTTCCTTTCAAAGTCAGGAAAACACTGGGATCTTCCTATTTTGCTCATCTGGAAAAGAACAAGAATTTTGCAGATCACAGGGCATTGGATACAGTTTTTACAATTACTTTCCTCAGCCTCTGTCGTAAATCTCAAAGACAAAATCTCTGTTTACACGTGTAAACATGCCATTTTTCAATCAGTGAGAAATACTGCAATTACATGTCTAGGAAGGAGGAAATAGGGGATGGATCATAATGACCTTGTGGGGAGTTAGAAAACATGTTTGGGAAATCTAGATCTGAATGTGGCACTTTGTATTTAGCCTGGGATTTGGTGTTGGTGATACAGTGTGTTGTTTAGAAAGAAGGGATTTCTTAGTCATCCAGAAAATACTCCTTTGTCATAGAATTTAAGTAGGATTCATTTTATATCAGCTATATTTTCACAGTAATTTATGTTGTTTCTTCCTCCAGGTAAGAGTTATCTTATCTCAAGTCCTACAGAATTATTATTTTTGGTGTTTGGAGAGCCTCACATGTAATCCAATATACAATAATAGTATCTTCTTCGCAAAGTTATTGTAAAGACTCAATATGCATTAATATGTTTAGCACAGTCCCTGGCAAATAGTAAGCTCAATAAATGGTAGCTATCATTATCACCATTGCTAAGTGGTGAAGGAAAACACCATCTTTTGTACTATTCAAAGCTTACATAGTGCCCTTGGCTCTTCAGCTTGAGTCAGCACGTCACTGTGGCCCACAGCCACAATGGCAATGACAAGAGAATGCAGTGGAAGAGGGAGGCTGTACATCTGTGAACTTGGTTTCAAGGGACAGTCCGCAAAATAACTCTTGTTTTTTTTTGTTTGTTTTTTGTTTTTTGGTTTTTTTTTGAGACGGAGTCTCACTCTGTTGTCCAGACTGGGGTGCAGTGGTGCGATCTTGGCTCACTTCAACCTCCGTCCCTGAGTTCAGGCGATTCTCCTGCCTCAGTCTCCTGGGTAGCTGGGATTACAGGCACTTGCCACCACGCCCGGCTAATTTTTGTAGTTTTAGTAGAGATGGGGTTTCACCATGTTGGCCAGGCTGGTCTCGAACTCCTGACCTCAGATGATCCACCCGCCTCAGCCTCCCAAAATGCTGGGATTACAGGCGTGAGCCACCACGCCTGGCCTCTGGTTTTTGTTTTAAAACTCAAGTCCTCACAGCACTATCATGTCCTCATCAGAGACAGACAAGGAACATGTGAACATTGATATAGTTCCTCTTCTAGTTGATTGACACAGATGAAAGGAGTTGAGGTATCAGCAATATTTTGTTGGTATGCAGTTTCTTGGTCTCCAGCTATTGGTCTTGCTGAGAGTAGATGCTTTTTATACGTGTGTACTTTCTTTGACAGTACCTGATGCAAAGGCAGTAGTACACTTGGAATTACCGAAAAAAAAAAAAAATCACGTGGGGCTTATGTGGCAAATCAGGGTTGCTGCCAGAGCCAAGGATTAGTCAGTCAGTCATTGAATTTCAGTATATTTGCATTCTGAAATTCACAAGAAGCATACTTTCCACTCCTGCATTTCAGTAGTACTAGGAGATCGTGCCAGCATTTAAAATGCAGTGGAACCTGACAGCCTTTCTTTCTTTTTTTATGTTAGCTTGTTAGATGCATGGAGTAAGATGACAAGCTCATTCATTACTGCTTTTTCTGCCAGGTCACTTTGCCAAGAAATCTTATTATGGATTCTGGGGAAGCTGGAAAGGAAGAAGGCAATTGCCAGCCTGAAAGGATTTGCAGGGTTGGACAAAGCTGTGCCCTCTCTCCATTCTCTGTGTCAGTTTAGAGCTGCCACTCAAGGTGGCATTATGATTACCATCAAAGAGGCCATTAGGTGAGTCCACCCATCCATTACTGTCTCTCTTCAGATTTAGTTCTGCCCAAAAGGCCATTCAGTCATTCAACCACTAAGGGGCGCTGATAGAAAAGAAACCAGAAACTCAAGTGGCTGAGGTGCTTGCTGTTTATATTCTCTAAATGAAACGTAAGCCTTAAATAATTCTCCAGGTTTTTTCCCAAGATGCCTGCTAATGGTTGGTGCAATTTACTGGAGCCTCACAGCTCTGCATCACAACAAGCCCACTTACTTCACCATCTTTGCCAGTTAATCAGAGTAAAGGGCAGACACATGTTCACCCTTAACACCATAATAATCCAATTATCTTTCTGACTCTCAAAATGGTATATGTGTGTGTTTATCTTCAGACTTATTCCTGAGGGAAATTGTCCGATAGCTATCTTTTATGGTAATTTTATGATGGAGATTTGTTTCTCATAGGGATTGATTAGAAAGTGCTTAATAAATATTAGTGAAATGGATCATTTATTTATCCAACATCTCACAATTGCATGTTTTAAATTATTTCCACTTTCTGGATGATCTAATGTTATTACCTCAGAACATAATTTCCTGTTGGTCATAGTCCATGTAATATGAATGAGTGACTGCTATCCTGTTTGGATTTCACATCACTTTCAAAGTGTTGCTGTTTGTTGAAGCGCTGAAATATTATTATATATTCATGGTTAACTTGGTAAAGTTTTAAAACACCCCTTCAGTTTGGTGGACTCGAGGAAAATAGAAAAACACATAGATTGCAAACAGAATCATCAGTACGAACTCAAGCTGCTATTCTGCCCAGCAACAGTTTATCAAGATGTTTTTGGCCAGACATGGTGGCTCACACCTGTAATCACAGCACTTTAGGAGGCTGAGGCGGGTGGATCACCTGAGGTTAGGAGTTTGAGACCAGCCTGTCCAACATGGTGAAACACCATCTCTATTAAAAATACAAAAATTAGCCAGGCATGGTGGTGCATGTCTGTAGACCTAGCTACTTGTGAGGCTGAGGCACAAGAATTGCTTGAACTGGGAGGTGGAAGTTGCAGTGAGCTGGGATCGTAACACTGCACTCCAGCCTGGGCAACAGGGTGAGATAGTCTCAAAAAAAAAGAAAAGAAAGAAAGAAGAGCCAGGCGTGGTGGCTCACACATGTAATCCCAGCACTTTGGGAGGCTGAGGTGGGTGGATCACTTGAGGTCAGGAGTTCAAGACCAGCCTGGCCAACATGGTGAAACCCATCTCTACTAAAAATACAAAAATTAGCCAGTTGTGGGGGCTGGCACCTGTAGCCCCAGGTACTCGGGAGGCGAGGCAGGACTGTCACTTGAACCCAGGAGGTGGAGGTTGCAGTAAGCCAAGATCGTGCCACTGCACTCCCACCTAGGTGACAGAGTGAGACTCTGTCTCAAAAAAAAAAAAAGTTTATTTAAAGAAACTCTATAAGAGCAGCTTAGATTTTATGATCTTTAGATCCAGAGTTTTTACTTTTCTGGAATTAAATATAATTGTTTGGAATTTACTCTTTATCATTGATTTTTTTTTTTTTTTTTGAGACAGAGTTTTTGCTCTTGTTGCCCAGGCTGGAGTGCAATGGCGCGATCTTGGCTCACTGCAACCTCTGCCTCCCGGGCTCAAGCGATTCTCCTGCCTCAGCCTCCCAAGTAGCTGGGGTTACAGGCATGTGCCACCACGCCTGGCTAATTTTGTATTTTTAGTAGAGATGGGGTTTCTCCATGTTGATCAGGCTGATCTTGAACTCCTGACCTCAGGTGATCCACCCACCTTAGCCTCCCAAAGTGGCCTTATCGTTGAATTTTTAAGAGTGACTAAAGTAGTGCTTCTTAAGATAATTGTCATGTGTTTTTGTTTTGTTTTTGAGGCTTAGTGTTGCTCTGTCGCTCAGACTGGAGTGCAATGGCATGATCTTGGCTGACTGCAACCTCCACCTCCTGGGTTCAAGCAATTCTCTTGCCTCAGCCTGCCGAGTAGCTGGGACTACAGGCACTCGCCACCATGCCAGGCTAACGTCATGTTGTTTTAGAAGTATTTGAATACAGTACTTCATTTTCACAATCAAAATGGCTCACAGAAGCTTAGAAGTGATGTTTATCCATTTTGGCTTTTCCTTCAACATAGAATGTTGTGGAGAAAACATGACTGATCTGAAGGACTCTGGAAGATTCTGGGATAATACAGGAAATATCCTAAGCTAAATGTATAGGTTATTCATTCTATTAGAGGAATAGGAAGTCCATGTTCTTCTTCTTTTTTTTTTTTTTTTTTGAGACAGAGTCTCGCTCTGTCGCCCAGGCTGGAGTGCAGTGGCGCGATCTCGGCTCACTGCAAGCTCCGCCTCCCAGGTTCATGCCATTCTCCTGCCTCAGCCTCCCAAGTAGCTGGGACTACAGGCGCCCGCCACCACGCCCGGCTAATTTTTTGTATTTTTAGTAAAGGCGGGGTTTCACCGAGTTAGCCAGGATGGTCTTCATCTCCTGACCTTGTGATCCACCTGCCTCGGCCTCCCAAAGTGCTGGGATTACAGGTGTGGGAAGTCCATGTTCTTAGTGAACTGGCACACTGAGACATACTGCCTTATGAGATGGTCTGCCAAGTTAATAATTGTACTTTTCAATGAGATGAAGAAACATCTGTCATTTTTTTTTTCTCAATTTAGTCTGAAAAAATTTTATGTCATTGGTCACTGAAATAACACATATTCTTTTTATAATACAAAAAACATATAAAGAGGAAAACAAAAGTCAACTAGTGTCTTATTTCCTGTTCACATTATTTTAGTGTTTTGCTTTTTAGTACATTTTCAATGCTTTTGTATTTGTTTATATAATGATATGGTATAATAATATAGTATATTGAGCTGCGTATGGTGGTTCATACTGGTAATCCCAGCACTTTGGGAGGCCAAGGTGTGAGGATTGCTTGAGGTTAGGCGTTCAAGATCAGCCTGGGCAACATAGCAAGACCCCATTTCTTTAAAAAAAAAAAAAAAAAAAGGCCAGGCACAGTGGCTCATGCTTGTAATCCCAGCATTTTGGGAGGCCAAGACGGGCGGATCACATGAGGTCGAGAGTTCGAGACCAGCCTGGCCAACATGGTAAAACTCTGTGTCTACTAAAAATACAAAAATTAGACAGGCGTGGTGGCAGTTGCCTGTAATCCCAGCTACTCGGGAGGCTGAGGCAGGAGAATCACTTGAACCCGGGAGGTGGAGGTTGCAGTAAGCCGAGATCGCACCATTGTACTCCAGCCTAGGTGACAAGAGTAAAACTCCGTGTTAAAAAAAAAAAAAATTATAAAAAAAGTATGTACACACACACACAGGTGTATATATATGTATACATGGTATCTTTGTCTTTTCACTTGTCAGAGGAATTAAAAACTAAAAGCCATAGTACCTCATGAGAAAGTACGAATATTTCTTGATCAGCCTGGGCAATATGGCAAAACCCGGTTTCTACAAAAAAATACAAATATTAGTTGGTTGTGATGGTGCACCTCTCTAGTCCCAGCTACTTAGGAGGCTGAAGTGGGAGGATTGCCTCAGTCTGGGAGGTGGAGGCTGCAGTGAGCCATGATTGCACCACTGTACTCCAGCCTAGGCAATGAGTGAGACCCAGTCTCAAAAATTAAAAAAAAAAACAAAAAAACAAAAAACGGCTGAGTGCAGTGGCTCATGCCTGTAATCCCAGCACTTTGGTAGGCCAAGGCGGGCAGATCACGAGGTCAGAAGTTCGAGACCAGCCTGGCCACCATAGTGAAATACTGTCTCTACTAAAAATACCAAAAATTAGCTGGGCGTGGTGGTGGGCGCCTGTAATCCCAGCTACTCCGGAGGCTGAGGCAGGAGAACTGCTTGAACCCGGGAGGCGGAGGTTGCAGTGAACCAAGATGGCATCATTGCACTCCAGCCTGGGCAACAAGAGCGAGACTCCATCTCAAATAAATAAATAAATAAATAAATAAATTTTTGCAGTAATCATAGCACTGATTTAGCCAGATTTTATAACTTGGTAATCACATTCAACCTACTCATTTTTCTGAACCTTTATGCATTTTCTTATCTCAGCTAATTGGTTCCTTTCAGTTGAGACTGCATGTCCTCCCATGATGATCACATCTTTTTCTGCTGCCCATAACCCTTCAGTAGCTTATCAGAAAAAAGTCAAAGTTCTTTTGAATGACATCCAAGGCCCTCTGTGATCTAGCCTTACTTTACAGCCTTCTCTTTCTGTTTTTCCTCAGGACCCAGAATATCTGCATATGACTTGTATATACTTTAATTCCTCCTTGCTTTTGTAAAAGTAATAGTAATTCTCCAACATCCATCTTTTTTTTTTTTTTTAGAAATGAGATCTTACCATGTTGTCTATGTTACTGGCGTTCAGTGGCTATTCAGTTGTGACCATAATGCACTACAACCTCAAACTCGTGGGCTCAAGCAGTCTTCCTGCCTCAGCCTCCTGGTACACTACCAGTGTGCACCACTGTGCCCGGCTAACATCCATCTTCATGAATCTTTCCCTATTTGAGCAAATGACCATGCAGGACATAACAGCCTAGTTTCTGAGAATCAATACTTTTTTCAGAATGGAGAAATAGTAAAATAAGTTAAATAAATTTGGGGGATCTTTTTAATGATTAACTGTTTGGACATAACGTGTTACTTTAGAAGATTGTTAGCCGGGCACGGTGGCTCAAGCCTGTAATCCCAGCACTTTGGGAGGCTGAGACGGGCGGATCACAAGGTCAGGAGATCGAGACCATCCTGGCTAACACGGTGAAACCCCGTCTCTACTAAAAAATACAAAAAACTAGCCGGGCGAGGTGGCGGGCGCCTGTGGTCCCAGCTACTCCGGAGGCTGAGGCAGGAGAATGGTGTAAACCCGGGAGGCGGAGCTTGCAGTGAGCTGAGATCCGGCCACTGCACTCCAGCCTGGGCGACAGAGCCAGACTCAGTCTCAAAAAAAAAAAAAAAAAAAAAAAAAAAAGAAGATTGTTATGGGGTTTAAAATTATCTGTATCTCTGGTAACTCTGCCAAGATAAATTTTACCCTCATTGCAGTGATGAAGATGAAGATGAAGCTCTGTACCAGAAGGTATCCTCAGAGCAGGGCCGGGTAGAGCATCTCGGGGACTTGCTGTCCCACTGCCAGGAATGCGGTTTGGCAGGAGACTTCTTCATCTTCTGTTTGAAAGTAAGAACTACCTGTAATTCCTGGTCAGTGTTATTCCAGGGGAGTGCCAGGAAACCCTTTGAATTTTCAAAGCATTTATAATTTTAGATCCTAAAATGTAGGCCCTAATTTAAGGAAAGCGATCAAAGGACATAAAGGAATTTATTTTTTTAGTAGCCTTTGGATTGGTAAAAAGAAGAAATTTTTCTTCACTAGTACTCATGTTATCTACTACTTCCTCAAATAATCGGCACTGGCAGTTTAGAGATGAACAAAGCAGAACCCTCGATCTATGAAAGGGTTAATCTTTGCTCTGTGTTGACAGTAAGAACTCTTTTGAAGTTAATAGCAGGTTTTACAGCTATAGAGTAATCCCTTATCCTTTCTGACTGTTGTTTTGTCAGGTATTTGCAAAGGAGATTTAGCAATTCTGCCTCCTTCATTTCATTTTGCAGGCACCTGAAGCCTTTTCCGGGTTTGTTTCTTAGTGCCAGTGGTTGTGCTTTGCTTGCTTTTCTTCTATTCTCTGACAATAACTGGTACCCCATACTGTTACTCCTTGTTGCACTGTATGACATCATAAGCCAGTGACCTCCAGCTCTGCCTTTTCAACTCTTTCCCCTAAATAAAGTGTCTACTCTAAAAGAGCTGTAAGAGAGTTTAAGGTTTCTGTAGGTATGGGAGAATTCAAGGAGGGAATCAGGGCTAACATTTCTAGAACTTGAAGTAGGAGACACTTTTTGATGCTTTCTTACCTCCCATGTTCACACCCATCCCCATGCCCAGCGATACTCTTTCTAAATAACATTCCAAGGGGATGTGCTCTTAATTGTATACTTAAAAAAAGGTGGCTCACTCCCAGCACTTTGGGAGGCCGAGCCAGGTGGATCACCTGAGCTCAGGCATTTGAGACCAGCTTGGGCAACATGGCGAAACCCCGTCTCTACCAATAATACAAAAAGTAGCCTGGCATGGGGGCTTGTGCCTGTAGTCCCGGCTACTCGGGAGGCTAAGATGAGAGGATCACTTGATCCCAGGAGGCAGAGGTTTCAGTAAGCCAAGAAGGGTAGGTGAATAGCCTACAAAACCCGCAGTAATACATAATTTCTTAGAAGTTAGTTCTAAGTATCTTAGAGGAAAAGAGCTGTAGTGCTGGAGGCATCTAATGGTCTCCAAAAGGGGTTTGAGAATGTGAGGTGATCTGAGGCTCAGTTCAAGGAAGGCCACTAGTAGAAATCATAGAAATACCCACAAAGCCGAAAGCTTGTCAAACTATTTCTTTGTGTGTGTGTGTGTATGTTTTTTATTGTGAGACTTTAAATTTTTATATACATGGTATCATACTGTATATATTATTCTGAAACTTACATTTTTCACTCAGTAGTGTTTTTTGAGATCTATGTATGTTGATACCCATATAAATCTAATTCATTTATTTTAACTGCTGTGATATTATAAATACATCATAATTTTTTCTTATTGCTGGTCATTTAGCTTGTCTCCAAGTTTTGGCTATTATAAATAATGTTGCAACAAACACAGACTATTTCTTTAAACATGCAGTTCAAACAGAGTTTTCTACTTATGTTTGAGAAGGCCTTAGTTCTACTGGCTTTATCTTCACTTTTTCTTTCCTGCCATGCTTGTAGGAGTTGACTCTTGTGGCCACGGAAAATGAAACAGGGTTAAAAACTGAGCCCTTCTCCAGCAAGAGCCTCTTGGAATTAGAGCAATATCAGACTCTTCTTGTGGAAGGCCAAGAGCAGAAGCTGCTTGTCCTGCAGCTGATGGCTGTTCTGTGCGAGAGAATGTCTGAGCAGATATTCACAAACATCACTCAGGTCAGTAGTTGCCACATTCTGGACCCTAGCCTTTTTTTCTTTCCAAAAAATATAGTTTAAAAATGTTGCTGAGAGTGTGATTTGATGACACCTGGATCGTGAGGTGTTTCCTGGAATGCTGGTTAAATATGGAAACTACACAGCCCACACCAGGCCACTGAATCCAAAACGTTCCAGTGTCCTGAGACTCCACACGTTTAACAAGCTCCCGAGGTGATTCTCATGCACATAAAATTTTGTCTTAAATGTTTATATGTTATGTTATAGTAGTTTTCAACTTTGGGTGCAAAAAAAGTTATCTGGGATCTTTTTCAGTATATTGATAGCCAGACCACGTTTAGAGATTCTGATTCAGCATGTCTGCATTAGAGCCTGGGCATCTTTGTCCTGCTGAAGCTCCATGGATGATTCTAATGTGTATCAAAACTTGAAAATGATTATACACTCAATTTGAAGAAAAGAAATCACTAATAATAGTGAGATCACCTTGAATTTTATTATAGGTCCTCTAACTCACAGTTATCTCCACAACATTCTATAAAGTTTTAAGATGTTTTAAAAAATGCTTTTAGAGGAGTATCTTTATGCGAGTCAGTGTCTGAATTTTATTGGCTCAGACATTATTTTTCCCACCTTTAAAAAAGACAGGAAATAAAAGTAACAAAGCAAAGGCAGTACAGTCGCCAGATTTTACCACTTAACCAGAATTAGTTGTTGCTTGGTTGGTCAATAGGCAGTTGTAAGATGGCATGATTGTCACGCTTAAATCTGATTCTCCAGCTCTTTGTATGGTCGTCATTGTCATCTGCCTTCGGGTGTTGCTAAGCAGCATTTCACTATAGCTCCTGCTGAGAAAATTTGCAGCTGCCTGTCAGCTCTGACTTACCGTGCCTGTTTAATGAGAATTATGCTCATGATTTCTTTCCTGGCCTCTTATTCTTTCAGTTCACTGACCCCGTGTTACTCAGTAGGGTGATTTGTTTCTCCTGTGTTTATATCCATTCCCTGAAGACTTTTTCATCCAGACCTTATGTTTTTGTCTCAGGATGCTAGTTGGAAGGGGAAATGGTCTAAAAACTGATATGACTTGAGCTTTTGCACTTAGTTCCCTTTACTCCTAATTAAGGAATAATGGTGTCAGGCTGGTACAGAAATGATTTGTCTCATTAAATTATCCTTCAGCTAAGGTTAAAATGTATCAGGGCCAAAAGAACCACAAGGAAATATTAAATTGTATTTGGTAATCTCACTGCTAGTGATAATATTGGTATATTATTTTATTTTATTATTATTTTTTTGAGACGGAGTCTCTCTTTGTCACCCAGGCTGGAGTGCAGCGGCGCAATCTCGGCTCACTGCAACCCCCACCTCCTGGGTTCAAGCAATTCTCCTGCCTCAGCCTCCTGAGGAGCTGGGATTACAGGTGTGTACCACTGTGCCCAGCTGATTTTTGTATTTTTAGTAGAGATGGGGTTTCACTATGTTGGCCAGGCTGATCTTGAACTCCTGACCTCAGGTGATCCACCTGCCTTGGCTTCCCATAGTGCTGGGATTACAGGCGTGAGCTACCGCACCCAGCCATTATTGGTATATTATTTGGAAATACACACATAAAGAAAATAAGTTAATTTTATGAATATTATTAGGAATCAAGATTTTTAGCATAAAAAAAGAGATATAAAGTAAAGAACCAGAGTAAAGACCCTATAATTTATTTTATTTTATTTTAAGAGACAGAGCCTCACTATGTTGCCCAGGCTGGACTTGAATTCCTGGGCTCAAGTGATTCTCTCACCTCAGCCTCACAAGTAGCTGAGACCACAGGTGCACACCACCATGCCCAGCTTAAAACCCTGTAATATTGAATTTCAGTTGGAAATATTAGTATGAACTCATGATTTATTTTTCTCTTTTTTAAAAATAGCTGTTTCCAGCTCAGTCCATTGTCAATCCCAAGAAGCAAGACAACCCAGTGTCAATAAGCATTGGTAGAGACAATATACAGTTTCTTTTTTTTTTTTTTTTTGAGACCGAGTCTGACTCTGTTGCCCAGGCTGGAGTGCAGTGGTGCAATCTCGGCTCACTACAACCTCCACCTCCCAGGTTCAAGTGATTCTCCTCCCTCAGCCTCCCAAGTAGGTGGGATTACAGGCACCTACCACCATGCTTGGCTAATTTTTGTATCTTTAGTAGAGACAGGGTTTCACCATGTTGGCGAGGCTGGTCTTGAACTCCTGACCTTAAGCAATCCACCTGTCTCGGCCTCTCAAAGTGCTGGGATTACAGGCATGAGCCACTGTGCCCAGCCCAATTTATAGTTTCTAAATATCATTTTCTACTAAATTCTAAGCTCTATATGGAATAAAGTTGATTCAAAGTCTGAGGCAGGCGGGAATCATACATTATAAACCTCAAGGCATCTTGTTGTGCTTGAATACAAGAAAGTGACCTGAGATGAATGGGATCATATCTGTAGCACACTGGAGCCAACTTGAAGGGACTCCCATTGCCATAGATAGGACAATTAGATCATTAAAAGGAATAATGCCTGCAATAGTTGAAGTACATCAAAGATATAAAAATCTGAGTCAAAGAAAAAAGCCCTCATATGACATCTTTGGGATTGCCAGGGCATCAACTCATTATTTTGTACATTGATAAGTAAAGGGAAAGAATAAAGCATTTGTCTTGTGTTTCCTGTAGGAATTGTATGTCAGGGTAACCAAATGGTCTATGAAGGAAAATCTTCATAGAGAATTACAGCTAAAAATTCAAAAAGAAAACTAGAAAATTACATCTTGTCTGGGTGCTATGGCTCACGCCTGTAATCTCAGCACTTTGGGAGTCTGAAGCAGGAGGATTGCCTGAGCTCAGGAGTTTGAGACCAGCCTGGGCAATATGGCAAAACCTCACCTCTACTAAAAATACAAAAACTAGACTGGGCACAGTGGCTCACGCCTGAAATCCCAGATCTTTGGGAGACTGAGGTGGGCAGATCACGTGAGACCAGGAGTTTGAGACCAGCCTGGCCACCATGGTGAAACCTCATCTCTACTGAAAATACAAAAATTAGCTGGGCATGGTGACCCGTGCCTATAATCCCAACTACTGGGAGGCTGAAGCAGGAGAATCGCTTGAACCTGGGAGGCGGAGGTTGCAGTGAGCTGAGATCGCACCACTGCACTGCGCTCCTGGCTGGGTGACAAGAACAAAACTCCGTCTCAAAAAACATTTAAACAACAGGAAAGTACATAACGTAAAAAGTAGGGACTTCTGGTGAAAGACAGTGTACTGAACGCATGTTTATCTGCTCTCTCTGGAAGCCATAGGGACCAACGGAACAGGAGAAAAGAGACAGTAGATAAAAGGTAATAGCCGACCAGGTGTGGTGGCTCACGCCCATAATCCCAGCACTTTGGGAGACCGAGGTGAGCAGATCATTTGGGCCCAGGTGTTTGAGACCAGCCTGATCAACATAGCAAGACCCCATCTCTCAAAAAAAAAAAAAAAATTAGTGGAGTGTGGTGGCAAGCGCCTGTAATCCCAGCTATTTGGAAGGCTGAGGCATGAAAAACACTTGAACCCAGGAGGTAGAGGTCACAGTGAGCCGAGATTGCACCACTGCACTCCAGCTTGAGCAACAGAGTGAGACTCAGAAAAAAAAAAGGTAATAACAAATGTTGCAAAGTTCAGTGGCGAGATATAGCTCACTGCAACCTTCTACCCAATGGGTTCAAGCAATCCTTCCACCTTAGCCTCCCAAGTAGCTGCGACTACAGGCTTGCAACACCACGCCCAACTAATTGTTGTTGTTTGTTTGTTTGTTTGTTTTGTAGAGATGGGGTCTCACTGTATTGCCCAGGCTGGTCTGGGCTAGCAACTTGATAAACTGGAAATCTAGATGTCTGCATGTGGAGAAGCCAAGAAGCACACTACCATACCTCAATAAAGTTATTTTTTTTATTTTTATTTATTTATTTTTTTTGAGACAGAGTCTCACTCTGTTGCCCAGGCTGCAGTGCAGCAGCGCAATCTCAGCTCACTGCAACCTCTGCCTCCCAGGTTCAAGCGATTCTCGTGCCTCAGCCTCCCAAGTAGCTAGGATTACAGGCACCTGCCACCACGCCTGGCTAATTTTTGTATTTTTAGTAGAGATGGGGTTTCACCATGTTGGCCGGGCTGGTCTCAAACTCCTGACCTCAGGTGTCTCGGCCTCCCAAAGTGCTGGGATTAGAGGCATAAGCCACCACGCCCAGCCTAAATTTTTTTTTTTTTAAAGAAAAATAAGAAAAAAAGGAGCAAGCTCCTTTTTACTGCAGAACCCTGGAGGGACAGGAAGCATCAGATAACCTCTAAAAATGGAGTTGAATTTAGAGCTTGAAAGAGTTTGAAAGGCTGTATAGGATTCAGTAGATCCCTTCATTTGTTCCTTCCCTTTGTACAACCACCTCCCCTTCCCAGCAAAAGACTGGAGGTTTACTCTTGAGAGATGATGAGCCCAAGAGACTCTGAACTGGGTGGGAGAGGCAAACTGAAAAATAGGAGGTATAAGTTGAAGTCTGCATCCTCAACAATGAGGCCTCCACCCCTTCCACTCAGGTGTCAGAGTCTTGGCAACAGGTTTAGACACCCCCATAGGACTACTGTGAGGATTAAATGAGTTAATACCTGTAACATGTTCAGAATTGTGCTTGGTAAATAGGAAATGTTTAATGTCATTATTATTATTATTTTTGAGATGGAGTTTCGCTCTTGTTGCCCAGGCTGGAGTGCAATGTCACAATCTTGGCTTACCACAACTTCTGCCTCCCTGGTTCAAGTGATTTTCCTGCCTCAGCCTCTGGAGTAGCTGGGATTACAGGTGCCTGCAACCACACCCGGCTAATTTTTGTATTTTTAGTAGAGATGAGGTTTCTCCATGTTGATCAGGCTGGTCTCAAACTGCCAGCTTCAGGTGATCCACCTGCCTTGGCCTCCCAAAGTGCTGGGATTACAGGCACCTGGACTTGATGTTATTAATAAACTAAAGAGTTTATTATTAAACCAAACTAAAAGTGGTTGCTTCTGTAGAGCCTGAATCAGATGGGAATAAATTATGTAGGGCACTGCTATTTTTCACTCTAAGCTTTCAGGAATATTTGGCTTTTAAAATTACGTACGTTTATAAGAAGTTTTAAGTAAAAAGTAAAGGTCTGTCCCCACTCTCCACAGCATATATAAATTTTAGAACAGGCTTCGGTCCCACACCTATTCTTGTGGCTGGCAGCCCCACCAAAATCACAGGAAATGTGTAGTAGGTGGAGGAGCTGCTGTCCAAATGGGTAGGGGGTTTTGGTGTTAACACAAAGAATGTTTGGCGGAAAGGGTACTTCATAGATGACAATGATAGCTGGCTATCTCTTTATAGTTAACGGTTCCCTGTGTTTTTTTTTGTTTTTTGTTTTTACAAACAAACAAACATAGAAAGTGTATATTTTAGTAATAGGATCATACGACTTGTTTTGATAGACACACACACACACACACACACACACACACACACACACACCCCCGTGGAGGCCAGGCGCTGTGGCTTACGCTTGTTATCCCAGCACTTAGGGAGGCTACCCGCGAGACTGAGGCAGGAGAATTGCTTGAACCCAGGAGGTGGAGGTTGCAGTGAGCTGAGATCACGCCAGTGCACTGCAGCCTAGGCGGCAGAGCTAAACTCCATCTCAAAAAAAAAAAAAAAAAAAAAAACTGGAGAGGAATTTAGAAACAGTTGGAAGGCTAAATAATCCTAGTTGAGTAATTTAGAAATGCTTTATTTATTTTTCGTTATTGTTGTTAGAGACAGGGTCTCACTCTTTGTCACCCAGGTGGGAGTGCAGTGGTGCAATCACGGCTCACTGCAACCTTGAACTCCTTGGTTCATGCAATCCTCCTACCTCAGCTTCCTGGGTAGCCAGGACTACAGGTGTGTGCCACTGTGCCTGGCTAATTTTTAAATTTTCTGTAGAGATAGGGTCTCACTTTATTGCCAGGCTGGTCTTGAACTCCTGGCCTAAAGTGATCTCCTGCCTTGGCCTCCCAAAGTATTAGGTTACAGGCATTAGCCACTGTGCCCAGCTAAGGAGTGCTTTAGAAAACTCCCTGGAGGCAAAATAGTTGGCCCAAGATAGTAGAAACAGTTTCTACCTAGTGTTTCTAGAAGGGGCCAGTGTCCTTATCTTCTAGTATGAACAAAATCGTAGGGATGAAGGAGGTGGTGAAAACTGCCATAAACAGCATTGTTCATTTCAGTAAGTGGAACTTTTAATAACCTTTCTAGTTTCCTGCATTGCTTCAGAAGACAAGTGTTAACAAGCCATTCTCCTGACGTTAAGCTTGCAATAAAGATTCTAGCACAGCATGTGATTTGTCCAGAGAATTAAACATGCAAGCTTGCATGTTATTTGGAGGCTTATTATGACCTTCTCAGCCTTTCCATTTCTAAAATGATTTCTCTCTTTTGAGTCATTAATCCTAAGTATGCATGTGTGTGTGCACGCATGTGCATTTGTGTGCTGTCATTTATTCAAAGGTGTTTTTACTTAAGGTGATTAATCCAAATGCATTGAAAATGATGCTGACCAAATTAATTCTATTTAAAGCTTAGTTGTTAGCCAAATGCTATATAAAGTCTTGTCTAGGAACAATCTTAATCCTTTCAACTATTTAATACTTAAGAAAAGACTCTAGATCAGGGGTCTCCAACCCCCAGGCCACGGACTAGTACTGTTCTGTGGCCTGTTAGGAACCCGGCCTCATAACCGGAGGTGAGCAGCGCACAAGTGAGCTTTACCACCTGAGCACGGCCTCCTGTCAGATGAGCAGCAGCATTAGATTCTCATAGGAGCGCGAACCCTGTTGTGAAATGTGCATGCAAGAGATCTAGGTTGCACAGTCCTTATGAGAATCTAACTAGCACCTGATGATCTGAGGTGGAATAGTTTCATCCTGAAACCATTCCCCACCCCTCTCCCCCTCCCGCTTCTGCCAGCCTTGGTGTGCGGGAAAATTGTCTTCCATGAAACCGGTCCCTGGTGCCAAAAAGTTTGGGGATCACTGCTGTCAATCATTTGCACAAATGGTTCTAAGACACTGACTTCTAGATGAAACTGAACACTACCCCTCCATTCTTTACTTACTAGAATTAGACTGTCAAAATGTCAGGAGTGAGTCAGGGCAGGAATCCCTGAGGAGGAAACCTCCTTTTGAGAAGCAGATCCAGGATCCCCTGACATAGTCAGAAAGTAACAGGTCATTTTTTATAAGGAGAGTTTATTTATTTATTTATTTTTTGAGACGGAGTCTCGCTTTGTCGCCCAGGCTGGAGTGCAGTGGCCGGATCTCAGCTCACTGCAAGCTCCGCCTCCCGGGTTTATGCCATTCTCCTGCCTCAGCCTCCCGAGTAGCTGGGACTACAGGCGCCCGCCACCTCGCCTGGCTAGTTTTTTGTATTTTTAGTAGAGACGGGGTTTCACCATGTTAGCCAGGATGGTCTCGATCTCCTGACCTTGTGATCCGCCCGTCTCGGCCTCCCAAAGTGCTGGGATTACAGGCTTGAGCCACTGCGCCCGGCCAAGGAGAGTTTATTTTTTAGAGCAGTTTTAGATTCACAACAAAAATGAACAGAAGAGACAGAGATTTCCCTTACACTCCCTGCACTCAAACAACATAGCCTCCCCCATTGTCAACATGTCCCACCAGAGTGATGCATTTTTTACAGCTGATCAGTCTACATTGACACATCACCACCCAAAGTCCATAGTTTACATTAGGGCTCGCTCTTGGCGTTGTACAAACTATGGATTTGGACAAATTTGTAATGCCATGTATCCACCATGATGGTATCATACAGAATAGTTTCACCACCGTAAAAATCCTCTGTGCTCCACCTGTTCTGTTCTCCCTCTCTCCTAACCCCTGGCAACCCTTGATCTTTTTACTGTCCCCATAGTTTTGCCTTTTCCAAAATGTAATATAGTTGAAATCATACAGCATGTAGCCTTTTCAGCTTGGCTTCTTTCCGTTAGTAATACGCATTCGAGGTTCCTCCGTGTCTTTTCATAGCTTGATTGCCCATTTTTTGGTGCTATTTTTCCATTGTTTGGATGTACCACAGTTTATTGATGCATTCACCTACTGAAGGACATCTTGGTTACTTCAGGTTTTAACAATTATAACTAGAGCTGCTATAAACAACCATGTGCAGGTTTTGTATGGACATAGGTTTTCAACTCATTTGAGTAAATATCAAGGCAAGCAATGGCTAGATTGTATGGTGAGAGTATGTTTAGTTTTGTAAGAAAGTGCCAAACGGTCTGCCAAAGTGGCTGTACCATTTTACATTCCCAGCAGCAATGAATGAATGAGAGCTCCCGTTGATCTCCATCCTCACCAACATTCCTGGTGAAATCAGTTCTCTGGATTTTGGCCATTCTATTAGGTGTGTAAAAGTATATCAACAATGCTTTCATTTCCAATTCTCCAATGCCATAGGATGTGGAGCATCTTTTCATATGCTTTTTTTGCCATCTATATATTTTCTTTGGTGAGATATCGGTTTAGGACTTTTGCTCTTTTTTAATTGGGCTCTTTTCTTTTCAAGATAGGATCTCTTTCTGTTACACAGGCTAGAGTGCAGTGACACCATCATGGCTTACTGCAGCCTCGACCTCCTGGGCTCAAGCAATCCTCCCACCTCAGTCTCCTGAGTAGCTGGGACTATAGGCACTTGCCACTATGCATGGCTAATTTTTTTTTTTTTTTTTTTTTTTTTGAGACAAGGTCTCACTCTGTTGCCCAGGCTGGAGTGTAGTGGTGCTGTCTCAACTCACTGCAACCTCCGCCTCCTGGTTCAAGCGATTCTTCTACCTCAGCCTCCCGAGTAGCTGAGACTACAGGTGCGCCACCATGCCCGGATAATTTTTTGTAATTTTTTGGTAGAGACAGGATTCACCTTTTGGTCAGGCTGGTCTGGACTCCTAACCTCAAATGATCTACCCACCTCGGCCTCCCAAAGTGCTGGGATTACAGGCGTGAGCCACCGTGCCCAACCCGGGTTTTCTTATTATTGAGCTTTAAGAGTTCTCTGTAAATTTTGGAAAACAGTCTCTTGTCAGACTGTTTTGGATGAATATTTTCTCCCAGTCCGTGGCTTCTCTTTGTATTCTCTTGACAGTGTCTTTTGCAGAGCAGGAATTTTTAACTTCAGTGAAGTCCAGCTTATCATTACTTTCTTTCACGGATTGTGCCTTTGGTGTTGCATCTGAAAAGTCCTCACCATACCCGCGACCATCTAGATTTTCCATGGTAGCTGCTAGGAGTTTATAGTTTTGTATTTTGCATTGCAGTCCATGATCCATTTTGAGTTCATTTACAAGTCATTTTGCTTTTTAATTTTCAGGCAAAATTCATGCAAAGTAAAGGAAGTTGGAGTAGCATATTAAAACATTTGGAAAAGTATAAATAGGCTTTCTCATTTATTAAGTGTACGGCCTTAAACAAACAACCTTTTAAAGTCTCAGATTCTTCATTTCATAATGAGGATGATAGTACTGACCTCCTAGAGTTGAGAAGAGAACTAAGTGAGATTGTACACGTGAAACACTTGGGAGCTTCCCGCTTGCTGAACATGTGGAGATGCTGGGAATGGGGCTAACCCAGAGAGGGCATGGAAGCTCCACCCCCACCCGCTTTTCCTATCCATCTGTCTGTTCATCAGCGTCCTTTGTAATAACCTTTATAATAAACCAGTAAATGCTATTTAAAAAAAAAAAAAGCAAAACACTGAACTTCATACCTGCATGGTAAGTAGCAATTGTTCTGGATGATTCTTGCTATCATGATGTAGATAAAGAAGATGAGGATGTAGGCATAAGATGTAAGGAGAATTTTGATTTTTTAAATTATTATTCCTCATTGATTCTCAATTCCCTTTTTTTGGTAGGTGGTGGACTTTGTAGCAGCAACATTACAGAGAGCCTGTGCAAGCTTGGCCCATCGGGCAGAGAGCACCGTGAAATCACAGACGCTGAGCATGTCTATGGGGCTGGTGGCTGTCATGCTGGGAGGAGCTGTTCAGGTGAGTTGTAGACATGAGCCAAGCTTGAATGGAGGGAAGGGAGAAGCAAAATACCAGTTGTTTTCCTTCCATACCCTTGTGAGAAATAAGAATGGATATTGTACATAGGAGAACCAGAATAAAGAAGTTAGTTTGTTAATGAGAATTCTCTCCAAAGTGGAGAACAAGAAAGTTGCACCGTTTCCACTCTGTCACCTGAATAGACTTCACTATCAGAAGGGAAGGGTCCTCTCTACCTGTTACAATTTGAATCTGGGAACATCTAGCCTGGCATTTTGCATCTGAGGTGAATACTAGATTTTCTGGCCTTCACTCTCCAAAGCCCAGCCCTTGTTTCTGCTACTGTTGTTGGGGAAAGTCCTTAATAACCTGCTGGTTGCGTAAGATCCATCTATTTTGAATGCTTCATTTTAGCACAGGATTCATTCTTCATCCCACATCAGGCAGCATGTTAAAGCTTTGCTTCTCGCCACTTTTAAGTGTGTATGTCCTTTACATACCTAATTTATAATTTTTAAAGTTTTTTTTTTTAAACATTACATATTGGCTGGGTGCAGTGACTCACTGAGCCTGTAATCCCAGCACTTTGGGAGGCCGAGGTGGGTGGATCACCTGAGGTCAGGAGTTTGAGACCAGCCGGGCCAACATGGTGAAACCCCGTCTCTACTAAAAATACAAAAAAAAGTAGCTGGATGTGGTGGTGGGCGCCTATAATCCCAGCTACTTAGGAGGCTGAGGCAGGAAAATTGCTTGAACCCGGTAGCTGGAGGTTGCAGTGAGCTGAGATCGTGCCATTGCACTCCAGCCTGGGTGACCAGCGAAACTCCATCTCAAAAAAAATTAGAACAAAACAAAACAAACAAAAAAAAACTACATATTGCATACTCATGTGCCACACATACTAAGCTAGGGTACTGGGAATACAGCAGGGGACAGGGCAGACCCAACGGCCGTTCAGAAATGTACTTAGAATTGAATGAAGGGCCTCAAAAGAGAAGTGGTGGGTACCAAGAGCACATAACAACTAACCTAGGCTGGGAATATTTCTACTGAGGAAGTGTAAGCGTAAGCTAAGATTTGAAGGAAACTCTTCCAAGTAAGGAAAACATCACGTACAAAGGCTTAGAAGCAGCAAAGAGCTTGGTATACTTGAGACACTGATAGAAGGCTGGTGTTGGTGAATTGTAGAGACCAAGGGGAAGAGCATGCCAGCAAGGACAAAAGATAGGCAAGGGCTAGACCATGCATGTGTGTGTGACTGGCTGATTACATACCAAATTAGGTGAGGAGTCTGCAGGAAAGCAGAATAGGTTTAGTGTGAGTCTTACGAAATCCACCCTGAAGCCAATCTGCTCAAAACCCTTAGCAATGAGTAGGATACCCTCTGGGAATGGATTTTTGAGCTTGAGGATTCAAATCTGATTCTGATTCTTGATGTATTAGAATATGCCTTTCACTAGCCTGTCAAAAAGGAAAAGGAATTTTATCTGGGCCTGTTATTAGTGTGAAGCCCATTTCTTGGTAGATTTACTTAGCACTTCTAATATATATTTTCCACATTGTTTGAAAAAAAAAAAAGCTTTTGGTTCAGTTTCTAGCACCATAGTATACCCTTGCTGTTAGAACTATCAAGGAAAATTTCACTGATGGAATCATTTTTCTTTTTTTTTTGAGACAGAGTCTTACTCTGTCGCCCAGGCTGGAGTGCAGTGGCACAATCTCGGCTCACTGCAGCCTCCACCTCCTGGGTTCAAGCAATTCTCCTGCCTCAGCCTCCCAAGTAGCTGGGATTACAGGCATGCGCCACCACACCTGGCTAATTTTTGTATTTATAGTAGAGACAGGGTTTTGCCATGGCGGCCAGGCTGGTCTCAAACCCCTGACCTCAGGTGATCTACCCGCCTCGGCCTCCCAAAGTGTTAGGATTACAGGCGTGAGCCACTGTGCCTGGCTGGAATCATTTTTCTTAAGTTGTATTCTTATTAGATTTAGTTGGCCAAATTGATTTTTGTTTTTCTGGTTGAATATTAATTTGAATAGTCTTTTTTTTGGCTTGTCTTTACTTCACACTTGTTTCAAACCACATCCCAAATGGAAGATAGATCACAGAAATCTCCATTTCCCTTTCTAGAAGCCCATTGTTGGAGGGCTGGCTGTGCATGTTAGTTGTATTCTAAGACAGACTCACCTGACTGATGTCAAGGTTATACCTTGCAGGCCCCTGCCTTTCTGTGAGCCATCCTGACTCACTGATTACATCCGGCATTCCTCTGACTTTGCAGTTAGTTAAGTGAACATAGGCACGTCACCCCCTTTATCTTTGGCCTAAATCTGCTACTTTTTTTCTGTTTGAATCATGGATTTGTAAATGGCTTCTATAGTAATGCTAAATTTTCTTTCTTTGTATTAAAAAAAAAAGTCATGGTTCTGAATTGTGTTTTCAGTTAATTGTTGTCAGGCCAACAATATACTGTTTTTTCCTATCCCTTATTAGGATTCATTGTTTTGGCTAATGAAAAAAGAATCTAACATCATCTGAACCTTTTTTATTTCTTTCTAATTTATATAATCAAAGTGATTATTAGAACATCGTGTCTGGGAAGAGGAGTTAATTTGGAAAAAGCATGTATTTAAGACTGCTGACAAAAATTAAAAAATAAAAAGGCCAGGCGCGGTGGCTCATGCCTGTAATCCCAGCACTCTGGGAGGCTAAGGTGGGCAGATCATGAGGTTAGGAGTTCACGACCAACCTGGCAAACATAGTGAAACCCCATCTCGGCCGGGCGCGGCGGCTCAAGCCTGTAATCCCAGCACTTTGGGAGGCCGAGACGGGTGGATCACGAGGTCAGGAGATCGAGACCATCCTGGCTAACACAGTGAAACCCCGTCTCTACTAAAAAAAAAAAAAAAAAAAAAAAAAAAAAAAAAAAAACTTAGCCGGGCGAGGTGGCAGGCGCCTGTAGTCCCAGCTACTCGGGAGGCTGAGCCAGGAGAATGGCGTGAACCCGGGAGGCGGAGCTTGCAGTGAGCTGAGATCCGGCCACTGCACTCCAGCCTGGGTGACAGAGCGAGACTCCGTCTCAAAAAAAACAAAAACAAAACAAAACAAAACAAAAAACCCCATCTCTACTAAAAATACAAAAATTAGCTGGGCATGGTGTGCATGCCTATAATCCCAGCTACTTGGGAAGCTGAGGCAGGAGAATTGCTTGAACCCAGGAGGCGGAGGTTGCAGTGAGCTGAGACCGCCCCACTGCTCTCCAGCCTGGCAACGGAGCGAGACTCCGTCTCAAAACAAACAAACAAACAAAAATTTTTTTTAAAAAGACTGCTGACAAGATAACTGTAATTCCAGGCTCATTTTCTAAATTTCAGAGTTAGTCACCACTGAAAATATTATACATTGGTTACTCCTCCCTGTCCCCTCAAGAAGCAGTTTCTGCATGATGTTGCATTGTCCGTTGGTCTCTAAAGCACGAAGCTGAGCAGACCATTCTAGACCTTCTTTAGGAAAAACTAAAACCATGTTGTTCCAGGGTGGTAGCAGAGCCTCTGGTTAAAAACTGGGCTCCAAATCTTTAAATCTAGATTCTATTGGGGCAGGGGCCCGTTATTGGGCGAGAAAAGGTGCGTCTCTTCTCTAAGGGGGAAGGAGTCTTTAGCTTGGTGTTACTCTACACTGCTTAGGTCATGTTTTTGATCAAAGGTCATTGCTCAGACTCTTTGGCAAAAAGGTCGCTATGAACATGGACTGTGTTTTAGGTGCTGTTCACTTACATATTAGAATCATTGCAAATGCTTAGGGGCTGGGGTAGAAGTAGTGGTAAGCAAGCTAGAGGTCTATTGCAGAATGGAGGAAGGGGAGAGGGAAAACCGCTGAAATCTGTTGCATGCTGGTGAGGCGAATTGGTTGACTCAGTTCCTGTGCTAGAATGCTGTCCTTTCTCTTCACCGAGCCCAATTTGGATGCTCTATAGATCTGCTTGGGAAAATTCCCATTATTTCTAGCTGTTATGTAGAACTCCAAAGAGCAGACAATCCTTCTTTTTTTTTTTTTTTTTTTTGAGACGGAGTCTCGCTCTGTTGCCCGGGCTGGAGTGCAGTGGCCGGATCTCAGCTCACTGCAAGCTCCGCCTCCTGGGTTCAGGCCATTTTCCCGCCTCAGCCTCCCGAGTAGCTGGGACCACAGGCGCCCGCCACCTTGCCCGGCTAATTTTTTGTATTTTTTAGTAGAGACGGGGTTTCACCGTGTTAGCCAGCATGGTCTCGATCTCCTGACCTCGTGATCCGCCCATCTCGGCCTCCCAAAGTGCTGGGATTACAGGCTTGAGCCACCGCGCCCGGCCAATCCTTCTTAATTACTGTTACTTTCAAGCAGCCTCATTTAGAGATGTCTTACTTTCTGCTGTATTTAATAAACCCGCCACAGTAGGTACTTAATTAACAGTTTTTGAATGGATGGATAAATGGAAGGAAGAAAGAATAAAAAGAAGAAAGGAAAGATAATGTTTAACGAAGGACGCATGAATTTGTTTTGTTTTGTTTATCAAAAGGGTATGGGCTCAAAAAGTTGAAAAACACTGCCCTCACCCATAGTGAGCAACCTCCAGATCTGGACACACCCATGGGAGTGTTGTGAATGTTAGTCATGTGTTATGAGGGGCAAAGGAGAGCCATGCTTCTTGTTTTCACAGGCTTTCACTTGATTATCCTCTAGGTGATCCAGTCTTTTCTCAGAATTTCCCTAGAGTGGAGAGGCATCCTTCAACCGCTTGTATGCAGGTGATCAAACTGGCTAAAAAAGCCCTTACTTGCAAACCACAGTGCCTCCAATTTTACAACTTAAAAAGAAAATGACTTTCCAGTTAACTAATCTGACTAGTTCCATTTAATTCTTTTTGCTTTTGAGATTAAACCATCTATTTCTGGAATTGTCTTCGTTCTGCTCATTTATACACATTGTTAAAGATTTTCAGAGCTTTGGCCAGGTGCAGTGGCTCACGCCTATAATCCCAGTGCTTTGGGAGGCTGAGGTGGGCAGATCACCTGAGGTCAGGAGTTCCAGACCAGCCCAGCTACTTGGGAGGCTGAGGCAGGAGAATTGCTTGAACCTGGGAGGTGGAAGTTGTAGTGAGCCGAGATCATGCCATTGCGCTCCAGCCTGGGCAACAAGAGCGAAACTCCCTCTCAAAAAAAAAGCTCCTCACCTGGGCACAGTGGCTTATGCCTATAATCCCAGTACTTTGGGAGGCTGAGGTGGGAGGATCACCTGAGGTCAGAAGTTTGAGACCAGCCTGGCCAAAATGGCAAAATCCCATCTCTACTAAAAATATAAAAAAATTAGCTGGGTGTGGTGGCGGGCACCTGTCATCCCAGCTACTCGGGAGGCTGAGGCAGGAGAATCGCTTGAACCTGGGAGGTGGAGGATGCAGTGAGCCGAGATCATGCCATTGCACTCCAGCCTGGGTGACAGAGCAAAACTCTGTCCCCCCCCCCCCCAAAAAAAAAAAAAAAAAAAAGCTCCTCAGATATCTGCTGCCACCCAGTGTATTTCCCTGGACAACCCCAGGGGCTAGATGTTCGATGAGTAAATACCCATCCAGGATGTGGGCACCTGGTTGTCCAGCCTGAGGCCAGGGATCCCAGGGCACACCTTTGATCAGGGAGGGATGAGGCTGGTGCTTCTGCCATGCCAAGGATTGAGAACTCTGTGGATGCAAAGGGGTGGGTGGGAGGCCAGGTGTGGTGGCTCACGCCCGTAATCCCAGCATTTTAGGAGGCTGAGGTGGGCAGATCACATGAGGTTAGGAGTTTAAGGTCAGCCCGGGCAACATGGCAAAACCCTGACTCTACTAAAAATACAAAAATTAGCCAGGCAGGTGGCCACACCTGGAGTCCCAGTTACTCAGGAGGCTGAGGTGGGGGAATCGCTTGAACCTGGGAGGTGGAGGTTGGAGTGAGCCAAGATTGTGCCACTGTACTCCAGCCTGAGTAATAGAACAAGAGTCTGTCTCAAAAAAAAAAAAGAAAAAATTGCAATTCCCTAATGACTTATGACATTGAGTATGTCTTCCTGTGCTTATTTGCCATCTGTATGTCTTTTTTTTTTTTTTTTTTTTTTTTTTTGAGATAGAGTCTCACTCTGTTGCCCAGGCTGGAGTACAGTGGCGCATCTCAGCTCACTGCAAGCTCTGCCTCCCGGGTTCACGCCATTCTCCTGCCTCAGCCTCCTGAGTAGCTGGGACCACAGGCGCCCGCCACCACGCCCGGCTAATTTTTTTTTTTTGTATTTTAAGTAGAGACAGGGTTTCACCGTGTTAGCCAGGATGGTCTCAATCTCCTGACATCGTGATCCGCCCGCCTCGGCCTCCCAAAGTGCTGGGATTACAGGCGTGAGCCACCGCACCCAGCCTGCCTGTATGTCTTCTTTGGTAGGGTGGTGTTCTTTGGTAGACCTATCTGTTTAGGTCTTTTGCCCATTTTTAAGTCAGGTTGTTGATTTTCTTATTGTTGAGTTTTGAGGGTTCTTTGTATATTTTGGCGATAAGTTCTTTTTCAGATATGTCTTTTACAAATATTTTCTCTCGTTCTGTAGTTTATCTTCTCATTCTCTTGACAGTTTCTTTTGCAGAGCAGACATTTTTAATTTTAATAAGGTCCAGGTTTTTAGCTGTGTCTTTCATAGATCGTGCCTTTGGTGGTGTATTTAAAAGGTCATTGCTTTTAAGAGGTCATCTCAATTTTCTACTATGTTAACTTGTAGGAGTTTTATAGTTTTGTATTTGACAGTTAGGTTTATGATCCATTTCAAGTTAATTTTTGTGCAAGGTGCAAGGTCTGTATCTAGATTCATTTTTTCCCCAAGTGCATGCCAGTTGTTCCAGCACCATTTCTTGAAAAAACTGTCTTTCTTTTTTTTTTCTACTGACACTTGTTCCAATTAAAAAAAAGAAAAGAAAAGAAAAAAAAGACTGTATTTTTTTTTTCCATTTAAAGCCTTTGCTCCTTTGTCAAAGTTCAGTTGACTCTATTTATGTGGGTCTATTTCTAGTCTTGCTGTTCTGTTCCATTGATCTATTTGTCTTGGCTGGTTTTTTTAAGAAGAAATTGTTATATAGAAGAGAAATGAAAAAGAGGCCAAATAGATTATAGATAAATTATTCTCATTTTAGATGCTTTAAAAAAGTCCACAATACAACAGAGGCACTGAATGAAGTTTAGCATAATGATAATACTAGTAGAATTATTTGAAAATGTCTCAGCTGGGTGTGGTGGCTCACACCTGTAATCCCAACACTTTGGGAGGCTGAGGTGGGCGGATCACCTGAGGTCCAGAGTTTAAGACTAGCCTGGCCAACATGGTGAAACCCCATCTCTACTAAAATATAAAATATTAGCCGGGCATGGCGGTGTGTGCCTGTAGTCCCAGCTACTTGGGAGGCTGAGGCAGGAGAATCATTTGAACCCAGGAGGTGGAGGTTGCAGTGAACTGAGATCACACCACTGCACTATAGCCTGGGTGACAGAGCGAGGCTCCATCTCAAAAAAATAAAAAGAGAGAGAGCGAGAGAGAAAGAAAGAGAGAGAGAGAAAGAGGAAGGAAGGAAAGAAGGAAGGAAGGAAAGAAGGAAGGAAAGAAGGAAAAGAAAGGAAGGAAAGAAAAAGAAAGAAAAACAAAGGAAAGAAAAAGGAAAGATAAAGAGAAGGAAGGAAGGAAAGAAAGGAAAGAAAAAGAAAGAAATAAAGGAAAAGAAAGGATAGAAGGAAGGAAGAAAGAAAGAAAAGAGAAAGAAAGAGAGAGAGAGAAAAAGAAAGAAAGAAAAGAGGAAAATGTTTCTTCCAGTGCCACATAGATTCCAGAAAAAAATTGACCCTTTCCTTAAATAACATATGTCTTTGCTTTGTGTATGTACTCTCTTCTTCCCTTAATATATAGTAACCTCTGAATGTCAGTTGTTTTGCACATGAAGATAAACTAACATTCTGTGGAGGCAGAAACTCTATCTTATGTTGATTTTGCATTAGTTAGTAAATATGTAAACAAAACAATCTGAGTGTATAGTGAAATTCTAAGATACAAACCTGACATATACCTCAAATCTTCATTTACTTGGAGCATAATGGTGGGAACAATAACAAATCTGTGGACTTACAGTGTCAAATAACAATGTTATTTAGGTTCTATGAAAATGGTTAGTTGGTTGATTGGTTGGTTGGATAATGAAGTGAGGGAGTGAATGGTTAAGTAATAAATACTCTGCCTTGTTCTAAAAAGGATTTAAGCCGGGCATGGTGGCTCAAGCCTGTAATCCCAGCACTTTGGGAGGCCGAGGTGGGTGGATCACTTGAGGTCAGGAGTTCGAGACTAGCCTGGCCAGCATGGTGAAACCCCGTCTCTACTAAAAAAAAAAAAAAAAAAAAAAAAAAAAAAAAAAAGCCAGGCGTGGTAGTGAGCGCCTATAATCCCAGCTACTCAGGAGGCTGAGGCAGGAGAATCGAGCTTGAACCCAGGAGGCAGAGGTTGCAGTGAGCCAAGATTGCGCCACTACAATCCAGCCTAGGCAGCAGAGCGAGACTCTGTCTCCAAAAAGAAAAGAAAAAAATAAAAATAAAAAGGATTTTTTTTTTTTTTTTTGAGATGGAGTCTCGCTCTGTTGCCCAAGCTGGAGAGCAGTGGCGTGATCTCGGCTCACTGCAACCTCTGCCTCCTGGGTTTAGGCGATTCTCTGCCTCAGCCTCCCAAGTAGCTGGGACTACAGGTGCACACCACCGTGCCCAGCTAATTTTTGTATTTTTAGTAGAGACGGGGTTTTGCCGTGTTGGCCAATAAAAAGGATTTAAGATCTTTAAAGTATTCACATTTTCAGGGACTCCTGAAGCATCATCTGATAATTTCTCCAGTGTTTTCAAACAGAAAACTGTTATCATTGATTCTTACTTTTCGTTGATTGCACATACACCTTTTGGGTGGCAGTGGGTGAGAGGGGTGCTTTCTAGTGAAGACCAGTAAACCTGCTAGACAAATTCTAAATGAGCTGTAACACTCATGCACCTTTCTTAGTAGTAAGGCATATGACATCATTTGGACAAAACTTCCCTGGAGAATAAAATGTTACATAATTTTCACTTCTACTTTCCAGAAGAAATCCCTTTCTTCCCATTGTCTCCCTGATCCCTTCCAGATCTATGGTGCACTTGCATACTGGCCGGCCACTTTAGATCATGTAGTTAAGAACAGCCTTATCTTTTCAAGGGAGACTGTGTAGGGTATTGGGTAAGAGTGTGGGCTCTGATCCCAGTTTCTTGAGTTCACATCTTACTATCTTCCGGTTTGTGACCTTGGGCATGTTACTTAACCGTTCTGTTTCCACCTGTTTAAAATGTAGATAATAATAGTCATTATATCACAGGGATATGAATGTGTGTGTGTGTTTTATCTTAAAAAAGAACCTGTATATGATAAGTGTTCAATAAATGTTAGGTATGATTATTCAACAAATGGTATTGAGTGCGGGACCCAGGCAATATACTGATTACACCATAAGCAAGATTTGATCCCTGCCCCTTTTTCTCAGAATATGTTTCCTGGTGCTCAGGTCATATTGACATTTGCTATGTTAATGTGGGTTTGACATTTTTTACTTCATTTTGTAGTTGAAGTCAAGTGATTTTGCTGTTCTGAAGCAGTTGCTGCCTCTGTTGGAGAAGATATCCAACACATACCCTGATCCTGTCATCCAAGAACTCGCTGTTGATCTCCGCATCACCATCTCTACCCATGGAGCCTTTGCCACTGAGGCCATCAGCACGGCTGCGCAAAGTACACTGAACAGAAAAGATCCGGAAGGGAAAATAGAAGAGCAGCAACAAACCAGTCGTGAAAGACCCGCTGATGTAGCTCATAGCCACCTTGAACAACAGCAGAGCCATGAGATAGCCCCCCAGACAGGCCTGCAGTCAAATGCTCCAATCATTCCTCAAGGAGTCAATGAGCCCAGCACTACTACAAGCCAGAAATCTGGAAGCATAACCACAGAACAGCTCCAAGAGGTTCTTTTATCAACTTATGACCCTCAAATTCCAACACGGGCTGCTGCCCTGCGTACTCTTTCCCGCTGGATAGAGCAGAGAGAAGCAAAAGCCCTTGAGATGCAAGAGAAGCTTCTCAAGGTGAGTAGAACACACTGTAAAGACACATGGGCTCCGGGTGGGGCAGCCGTCGGGGAGCGTTCATTCAACTCAAGTATTTTTGGAGCCTGGACTATGTGTCAAGCACTGTTCTGGGCCACCCTCCAGAAATTTGTGAATTTTGTGAGGAGGCAACACTTAGATGCAGGAAAGACTTATTTAGACACAGGAAAGACTTAAACTCCTCAACTGAATATGAACCAAGTGCCAATTTTTTTTTTTTTTTTTTTTTTTTGAGATGGCGTCTCGTTCTGTCCCTGAGGCTGAAGTGCAGTGGCACAATCTCGGCTCACTCCCGGGTTCACGCCATTCTCCTGCCTCAGCCTGCTGAGTAGCTGGGATTACAGGCATCTGCCATCACGCCCGGCTAATTTTTTGTATTTTTAGTAGAGACAAGGTTTCACCATGTTAGCCAGAATGGTCTCGATCTCCTGACCTTGTGATCTGCCCGCCTCGGCCTCCCAAAGTGGTGGGATTACAGGCGTGAGCCACCGCGCCTGGCCTTCAAAATTTTTGCATGAAAGAAATACTGTGGGCAATCAGGAAAAAGAGAAAGTTGAAATCTTGTGGAGGATGTGGGTCTTATATGGCCATAATGAACCGGTAAAGTTTGAGCAGATGAAAGAGGGGTACGAGAGCATGAGCAAATTCCCAGAGATGGGAAAGTATCTTTTGTGGTAAATAAGTCTGCTTCAACACTGTGACTCAGCCCAGAGAAGCCACCTGTTTTCCCTGGGCATCTTTAGTGGGGCATTGGGCAAAACTGGGTCTCCTCTCCTCTTCTCTCCCTCCCTCGTGGTGAAATAGCTGGGTTTTTTTGTTTTGTTTTGTTCTGTTTTTTGAGACAGAGTCTCGCTCTGTCACCCAGGTTGGAGTGCAGTGGTGCGATCTCAGCTCACTGCAACTTCCACCTCTTGGATTCAAGTGATTCTTCTGCCTCAGCCTCCCATGTAGCTGGGATTACAGGTGCCCACCACCACACCCAGCTAATTTTTGTACTTTTAGTTGAGATGGGGTTTCACCATATTGGCCAGGCTGGTGTTGAACTCCTCACGTCAAGTGATTCACCCGCCTCTGCATCCCAAAGTGCTGGGATTACAGGTGTGAGCCACCACACCCAGCTTTAAAATATCCTTTTATACACCTGTTTGAAGGTGAATGCAATGAACGTCTTGGAATTTTGTTTTAGCTTTATTAAACCTTCTTCTGCTGTACATAATTGGTCACCAAGTCCTGTCAATTATTTTTTCCAAGAGGTCTTTCAAATGTGTCTTATCCTCTTTATTTCCATGGCCATTACCCTAAATTAAACTTCCCTTGCTTACTCCATAAAAGATTCCCTACCTTCTGGCTGTCTTCCTAACTGGGGTAAGTTTAGGCTCTCCCTACATACTTCAGATGTGGAGACCAGCAGCCTCAAGTTGATGTCAAGAATTACTGTGCCAGCGAAGAACACAGCATTATATATGGAGCAGACACTTCCGTCTTCCTTTCTCTGGCTCTCATGTTGGGGCCTAAACCTAACATATCATGTAGTATCTTCCAGATAAGCTGTACTCACTGCAGTTGATACCCCTGATAGGTTCCTAAATTGTAAGATATTTTGAGAGTAATTTGTTACTAATGTCAATTAAAGTGCTGAAATTTACAAGATTTTCAAAAATAAATTAGATTCAAAGTTATCTCAATAATAACATCTCTATCTCACTTGCACTTCCATATGCTTTGTGAGTGCAAGAGAAAAGGATCAAATTACAGCAAATGTGCCATCCCTTGCACATAACCCCAAACCTTGTCTCTTGTGTGTCACAGCCCATAGTCTGTCATGCCATATGTGAGAATGTTATTCACCATGGCTGTCATGGAAAAATGTTGAGGATTGTTCTTCCATTGCTTTCCAGGACTACTGCTGGAAGAATACAAGTATCTCCCCCAGTCTCTATCCTTTTTTTAACGGTTATAAAAATGAGACTTTAAGCATATATGCCATTTCCCCCACAAAACTCTGTCAGACGAGTTTCTAGCTAAGAAAAACAAGAAGCAAAGCATTTACTCCTTTGAGCTGCTGATAAGGGAACTCTTCAATCTTCCTTATTCTTTGTAAATCTTATCACTGCTGTATTTTGTGGTTCCAGATATTCTTGGAAAACATGGAACATGAAGACACTTTTGTATATCTATCTGCAATTCAGGGTAAGTCAGTCCTGGTTAAAGGACTTTGAGTCTGTGGACCAAAGACTGTGTCATGTTTATTTGCACAAAATCCCTAAAGTCCTAGGGCCATGAGACTACGGGTCATTTTATCCATCTTCCTGCCTCCTAGCTAGGACACTTTCAGTCATAATAATAATATTCCTGGAGGGTTTCCAAAGGGTCTCTATAGAGTTTCAGTGTCTCATAATGATGAGGAAGTTTTTATTAATGTTTATTTATTCTATAGATTAAATCGTATTTCCTCTAATTCAAGGAGGTAAAGAATGACTCATGCATGAATTCTTATCACATTAACCTTTTATGTTAGTCGGCTACTGTCTTTTCTTTTCTTTTTTTTTCTTTTTTTTTTTTGAGACAGAGTCTTGCTCTGTCTTCCAGGCTGAAGTGCGGTGGCGTGATCTTGGCTCACTGCAACCTCTGCCTCCCAGGTTCAAGTGATTCTCCTGCCTCAGCCTCCCAAGTAGCTAGGATTACAGGCACCCGCTACCACGCCCAGCTAATTTTTTATATTTTTAGTAGAGACAAGGTTTCACCATGTTAGTCAGGCTGGTCTCGAACTCCTGACCTCCAGTGATCCACCCACCTTGGCCTTCCAAAGTGCTGGGATTATAGGCATGAGCCACCACGCCCAGCCTCAACTCCTGTCTGTATGCACCTTTGCTCTCTCATTAAGCTAAAAGAACTCAGGAATTAAATATTTTCTCATCAAAACATTTTTTGCAGTAACTTTATTTCTCTTTTTATGATTCTTTGTTGTTCTCCACATCCCCTTTAACTTGTGGGCTCCAAATCTAGAGAGGATGTAGAGAATAAGGCACCCTTCCCAAAAGGTCCAGAAGCAGACATGGTGAGGTCAGACTTAACTCGGTTTCCCTTGGCTCCGTCAGTGAGATACAGTCGGCAGACCACCTGGGTGGGCCACCCCATTACCGTGCATTGGCAAATTACTTAATCCCTGTGGGCTTCAATTTTTTATCTGTGAAAAGGGGACTAAATAGGAATGTGAAATGGTACTGCCACTTTGGAAAACAGCCTGGCAGTTCCTCAAAAAGATGAACATAGAGTTACTACTTGGCCCAGCAATTCCACTCCCAGGAATATACCCGATAAATGAAAACATATGTCTACACAAAACCTTGTATGTGAATGTTCACAGCAGTATTATTCACAATAGCCAAGAGTGGAAATAGCTCAAACAGCCATCAGTTGATGAATGGATAAACGAAATGTGGTATATACATGCAATGGAATATTGTTGGCTATAAAAATGAAGGACTGATACATGCCACAATATGGATGAACCTTGAAAACATGGTAAGTGAAAGAAACTGGCCACAAAATACTGCATTTTATATTATTCCAGTTATTTGAAATGTCCAGAATAGGCAATTTTTTAGAGACAGAAAATAGATTAGTGCTGTCCTAGGGCTGGGGCAAACGAGAAATAGTTGAGGGTGATAGGTAAAGGATACAAGACTTCTTTTGGGGGTGATGAAAATGTTCCAAGATTCATTGTGGTGACAGTTTCACAACTCTGTTGAGTATGCTAGGAAACCATTGAGTTATACACTTTTTTTTTGAGATGGAGTCTTACTCTGTCGCCCAGGCTGGAGTGCAGTGGCGCAATCTCGGCTCACTGCAACTTCTGCCTCCCAGGTTCAAGCAATTCTTGTGTCTCAGCCACCTGAGTATAGGTGTCAGCCACCACGCCCAGCCCAGTTAGGAGCTTTAAATGGGTTAATTGTATGGTATGTGAGTTATATAGCTTAATTAAACTGTTATCAAAAAAATAAAATAATGTTTTGTTTTGTTTTTTTTTGAGATGGAGTTTCACTCTTGTTGCCCAGGCTGGAGTGCAATGGTGCAACCTCGGCTCACACAACCTCCGCCTCCGGGGTTCAAGTGATTCTCCTGCCTTAGCCTCCCAAGTAGCTGGGATTACAGGCGTGAGCCACCACACCTGGCTAATTTTATATTTTTAGTAGAGACGGGGGTTTCTCCATGTTGGTCAGGCTGGTCTTGAACGCCTGACCTCAGGTGATCCACCCACCTTGGCCTCTTAAAGTCCTGAGATTATAGGCAGGAGCCACCGCGCCTGGCCAAAATAAAATAAAATTTAGTAAAAGCGGAGAGGGCTAAAATTGTCAGCACCTAAGGAAATATGATGACTAAATGTAATGTGATAGATGGGATTCTGAAATAGAAAAAGAACACTAGGGCCAGGCGCAGTGGCTCACACCTGTAATCCTAGCACTTTGGGAGTCCAAAGCAAACAGATCACTTGAGGTCAGGAGTTTGCGACCAGCCTGGCCAACATGGTGAAACCCCGTCTCTACAAAAAAACACCAAAAAAAGTTAACCAGGTGTGGTGGTGGACCCCTGTAATCCCAGCTACTTGGGAGGCTGAGGCACAAGAATTGCCTGAACCCAGGAGACCGAGGTTGCAGTGAGCCGAGATCACACCACTGCACTCCAACCTGGGCAACAGAGTGAGACTCTGTCTCAAAAAAAAGAAAAAAAAAAGGACATTAGGGGAAAACTAAGGAAATTTGAATAAATTATAAACTTCAGTTGATAATAAAGTGTCAACATTAGTTCATAAGATGACTATTCTATCATAAAATGTTTATTAATAAAAGGGGGTTTAATATTAGGATTAAATGAGTTAATTCCTTGCAACTGCTTGGCACACAGTGTTCAACATGTGTTAACTATTAATACTTTAGTGTTGTTATCATCATCAGAATCTTCACTATTACATCTACTGTTGGATGACTAGGTAATAATGTGGTGATCTCTGTAACTTCTCAGATCTGAAGCTTGAGTAGGCCGATTCTGTCAGTTATTGCTATTTCACTAACTACCCTGTGGCTCACACCTATAATCCCAGCACTTTGGGAGGCCGAGGTGGGTAGATCACCTGAGGTCAGGAGTTTGAGACCAGCCTGATCAACATGGCGAAACCCTGTCCCTACTAAAAATACAAAAATTAGCCAGGCATGGTGGTGTATGCCTGTAGTCCCAGTTACTTGGGAGGCTGAAGCAGAATTGTTTGAACCCAGGAGACAGGGGTTGCAGTAAGCTAAGATCGCACCACTGCACTCCAGCCTGGGCAGCAGAGCAAGACTTCTTCTCAGAAAACAACAACAACAACAACAAACTACCTTGACACTCAGTAACCTGAAACACCAATCATTTATTATCACTCATGCATCTGTAGACCCGCTGAAGTTTCAGCAGGGCTCGGCTGGGCGGCTGGCCCCTCGCTGCAGGTCTCAGGCCAGCTGTGGTAGTTGTGCTTCATGTGTTCCTGATCATCCCTGAACCAGTGGCTTACCGGGGTTTGTTCTGCTCATGGTGAGAACCATGAAGTGTCAAAGAGAAACCATAAATTCCAGAGGCTCCTCAGGCCTGACTCGGAGCAGACATCCTATCATTCTGCCTTTTTCTGTTGGCTAAAGCAAGTCATGAGGCCCAACCCAAAAGTTGAGGGATAGAGAAATATATGCTATCCCTTTAGTGGGACACACTTTCAAGTCACATAGCAACGGGCATTGATGCAGTAACACCATTCTTCACGTTGATGTGTTCTGTTTACCTCCCAGAGGCAAGGTTGTCAGTGAGCACAAAGGTAACTGCAGGTTTTTACTGGCTAGTTCTTTCAGGGTATAATGTGGATATGATCTATACAGACTTAGTACTTGAAGCTTGAGAGAGCATGCAGAGGGGAAATCATATAGCGAAGAAGGCGTGAGCCTTGGAGTTTTGGAGTTCTGGAATTTCTTTTCTTAATTTTTTTTTTTTTTTTTTTTTTTTTTTTTTTTTTAGAGACAGAGTCTTGCTCTGTCACTCAGGGTGGAGTATAGTGGCATGATCATGGTTCATTGTTGCGTCTAACTCCGGGGCTCAAGCAATCCTACCACCTCTGCCTCCTGATTAACTGGAACTACAGATGTGTGCCAACACACATCAGGCTAATTTTTTAAAAAACATTTTGTAGAGATGGGGGTCTCACTATGTTGCCCAGGCTTAAACTCCTAAACTCAAACAATCCTCTTATTTCAGCCTCCCAAAGTGCTGGGATTACAGGCATGAGCCACTGTGCCCAGCCAAATTCTTTCTTTATTCAACAAACATATATTGTATATCTCCTATATACAAAACACTTTAGATTAACTGCAAGTTGTAATTAGGTTCAAAAGCAAAAAGAGAATTTTTCAAAGGAGACAAAATGACCACCCAAAGTGGTAAAAGACAACTAGGTGAGAATGAAAGCTCTAAGAGTAACAGGTTTCAAGAGAGAAAGTAATTACCGGCAGCTGAGAGGCCAAAGAGGGCAGGAATTGAGATAGACCTGGGGGTCCCAGAGATCACATGACCATAAGTTGTGCTTATGGAAGTCAGATAAATCAAAGAAGCAAGAACCTAAAGTGCTTATAATTCAGAAGTCTCAGAACACACGTCATCCTGTACTTTTCCGAAGAAACTGTACTACTGTCAAGGAGATGTTTCCATTGATTTTTTTTTTTTTTTTTTTTTGAGACGGAGTCTTGCTCTGCCGCCCAGGCTGGAGTGCAGTGGCCGGATCTCAGCTCACTGCAAGCTCCACCTCCCGGGTTCACGCCATTCTCCTGCCTCAGCCTCCCGAGTAGCTGGGACTACAGGCGCCCGCCACCTCGCCCGGCTAGTTTTTTGTATATTTTAGTAGAGACGGGGTTTCACCATGTTAGCCAGGATGGTCTCGATCTCCTGACCTCGTGATCCGCCCGTCTCGGCCTCCCAAAGTGCTGGGATTACAGGCTTGAGCCACCGCGCCCGGCCTGATTTTTTTTTTTAAGACTGGATTTTTGGGAATGGGTGGCATGTCATTCTAATGTGGCCACCTTGCTGTTTGGAATAAGCATCTTAGTTGATTAACCCACTGAGCTCATTAGCCTCTAGGGCCTGCTATCAGAATCACAGCTGTTGGTGTTGTGTTT